CTTCATCACTCGAATGGTTTGCTCTCCAACACTTAGCTGAGAAATGCTGATCGATACAATGTTGATAATGGTCAAAAATTATAGGGTGAAGGATTCTGAACGCTATAGAGGGCACGACACCTTTTTTTATGAAAACATTGGTTGCGGACGAATTTCTGGCATCTAGTGCAACGAGAGTTAGCCAGCCAGGTTTTTTCTATACTGAAGTATTAACTTACTTCATAACTGCGCTCTAATCCAGTTTTCCGATCCAATTTCCAAAAAAGCGCCTCGTGGGATCGTCTGAACTATGTGTGTACCGCGCTGGTTGCGTTCGAGAAAACGCGCGTGTCCCACGCGGCCAAAAAGTAAAAACGCGCATGTCGTCAACGTGTTAAAGATGAGCTCGCAGCCAAAAGTCAGCGCGTCTAAATGGCATTAGCCAGCCGGGCGTTTCTTAGAAGCATAAAGAATGTATCCTGAGTCGCAAGCTCTTCCACTATTCATCCGCTCTACCATTTCGTCCTATCAGATTAGAATCGGAGAACTGCGAGAAATACTGGAATCAATGATCTAATCTTTTTATCTTCTTATGCAGGAGTCAAATCAACTACTTGGTCTATTTGTTGTAATTATTTATCTTTATACTGTGGACCTATTTTATAGATTACGTTGAACGCTTCGCGTCTGAAGATGCATTGCGTCGTTTTTTCAATGAGTCTTCTTGCAAGCCAGACTACCGAATGGATAAAACTGGAGAGGACTCAGATATCTCGAGCATGTCAGACTTTTCTGAAGACGAAACACAAGGAATGGAATTATAATAAGACGGAGTTTCTGCTTATATTTCAGTGTTACAAAACAACCATCCTCGCTCGGGAAATGATCGTAATGTGATCCTTTCCGAATTCTTTTTCGTATCTAACAACTGCTACATTCTTTTTTATGTGTTCCTGGATTTAATAATCTTTGCTTAGTGAATATTACGGCTTTTCCCATCCGACTGGATACAAGGCGACCCAAGTTATTAATTTTCACGGTTATCTCAGCTGTTGTTCTCATGGAATATTAACTCTTGTTGTATGTTCGATTAAATCTTTACAGTTGGTTTCCAGTAGGTTTCACTTTAGGCTTGGTATCATATGGGCTACTTCATAGTTCCAAACGCTAGTGCATAAGATGTACGTGTCTTTTTCTATAGAGTACTTCCTCAATAAAGCGTAGTAATAGCTTTGCATAGCTGTGATATAACTTCTAAATTTTTGGAGTATGGTGCTATCCCAGAGTCTCATTTCTTATCTGAATGTGTAATAACAATGTGAAACTCCAAAAATTTATTCCAAAAAACTCAAAAGACAGCAAAAGTCTCAAAAGTTTTTTAAAATATCTTGCGATATTTCGGTGCGTAGCACCTTCGTCAGGCCTGAAATTATTTAGGTTGCTTTCGACTGGATATGTATCTAATGAGAAACGACATGCACGGACTCCTCCCCCACTAAACCATTTACACAGTTATCCCAACAGAAACAGCCAACCCCCATACCTTTAAATAGTGAGATGCTTTGTGACGCGATCACATGATGACTTGCATATGTCACGTAGCTCCTCCCTATTGTTTATTTCGGGTAGTAGCCGTTTTATTTCCAAGGCCTCCAATATTTTCCTTTCCATTGCGCTCTCTACCGAGCGGTGTAGTACTCTGATGACTAAACAACGATTTCAGTAGGGGCGCAAGTGGCTCACAAAAGAATTTAGGCGTGAGGTTCAGTGCATTGCAATAGTCGAGCACGGACTCGCACCATATTCAACGCGCGTTACCTAAAAAAGCGGTCGCAGCCGATTTGCGGACATATGCCTTGCGATGCTGTAACAGAAGCGTGAACTATTTCAGGTAGTATAATGCACTCTACAAGCAGTCGAAGCTTACACCTATAGTTTGTGGGAATGACAGCATTACTCTTTTTCTGTCATAAGATGAAATTGATCATTTAAGCGACGAAGAACGACAATTTCCTTTTGGATCAGAAACTAGGTTCCATGAATTTTTTTTCTCATTGGCTCAATATAGCCCAATCTTATTCCACCGATAATCAGAGCACCAATCGTCCTTGTAACCAGAAGTTCGAATGCGGTTAAAGGACTTTCCGCGATAAAATAAGGCTATGACCTTTCAAATGTGTCAGACGACCCTGACGCAGGAGAGGTGCGGAGGTTGCCGCTAAACCTTTA